ATACTGCAAGAAGCCACGGCATCATGGGTTCCGGTATTTTCTTTCCATGAGCAAGATGGCTTGCAACAGTCCCAGTAGCGGGTAGTAGTGCCAGATCCACTCAGTTTGGCAGCAGCTAGGCCTATGGCTAATTTAAATCTTGTTATTATATAGAACACGAATTTCTTCGGCAATGAAAGGAAGTCTGACAGTGTATTTGCAAAAGCTGTGTAGGTATTAATGTTGCTCAATAAAGTTGCTCTGTTTATGTAGGTATATTAATAATGTGTTACTTACCAATAGCGCAGAATAATGCAACAGCAGAAGTATTCATGTCTAACAGCTGAATAACTATGCCAACTACAAGTTGAATTGAGCCTTATATACTGTTCGTCAAGTGTCATCTTTCTGCGTTAATGTCATCTAATTGCTTTTTTGTTTTATCGATCATGCGATCGAAAGTTTTAGAAATCGACTCAAGTACGTCAATCCAAAAATACAATTTCTATTGTTTATACGAGTTTAAGTAAGTATCGCACGTGTTCTGAAAATGATTTAAAAAACGATATATTTGGATAGCAGGTAGTTAATGTTGGTATTAATTTGAGCCAAACAGTGAATTTTCAGGATGATTTTTCATAAATTATTTATTCTTCTTTTTAACAGTTGGATTGCAGTTAGTAACAGAATTTGTGGTGATATGTCACTGTAAACAATACGTTGAATAAATTTCGTGTTACTTAAAAATTAAAACTTTTGATAATATTCATTTTGAGTGGTTATTGTTGACACTTGCCTAAAGGCTTTCCTATAAACTCACATATTGTGAAGTAATCCAAATGCTTGGAAGCATCAGATTACTATGTTAGAACCGGTTATGAATTTATAAATTCAACCATTTCCGAAGCACGTTGTTATGAGTACACTAAAGGGCACAAATTCTATATTACTGAAAATAATGCAATTATGTTTAATAACATAATGTATTTATATAAATGCACCGAAAAAGTACGAAACTTAACAGAAACTGTGGGTAACGTGAAAGATGAGTAATTTCTGAATCTATGAAATAATTAAGATTAATGCGCATTGGTTATCCATGCTCATCCATATCCAGTTTTTTGGATATGGATGGAGTATGCCAAAAAGTTTTAAAATATTTGTGGTAGAATCATCGAAATCAAGAAGCACTGTCTATTAAATAGGTGTATGTATCGAAATAATTCTATTCAGCAGACAAAAATGTTTGGTTTGACGTTGTTGAGACGAAAACAAAATGGTGGAATTGAAGCCGAAAGCAGTATGTGGAGATTATTTAGTATTCTGAAAATTTTATGTCATTTTAGGCCAGCATCATATGCATATTAAATAATTTTCCAGTTTCTTAAAATCAGATGTGAAAATAGAAGCTTTGTAAAAAATCGAATGATGATTAGATACCTCAGTGACATTTAAAGGTGTCAAATATTGCTTATCAACCAATTGTATACTAAGGCCATTAAACTTAATTTTAGAGAGAAGCTACAATAAATTATTAACCATTAAATATAGGAATGACAATGGAGACGATGAATGAAGGAGATATTGAGATTTGAAATTAAGTTGAGACGCTTGATGAGCACGATGTCTTAACGGAATTTTCGGAAAACGAACAACAATAACATTAAAAAATCAAGAGCGTAAATTTATTCCTCGGCGGCCAATAAGTCTGATTGACCTAAATTTTCCCAAATTGTCCAAAATTGAAACTCGAAATACTAAATTATTATATTAACACAAATGTGGGGCGTAACGTTGTTTCATCAATTTACCGTATTTCTTGAATAGGGTCTGTTACATTGTATCCAGAAAATACATCCGGGATCAATTATTGGTTGATTTCAGTCTAAAGTGTTTTTAAAGTTCCAACTCGAAACGTATGAAGTCGCATAATCTTTGAGTATCTGCCCATTGTTGTAATAAAAATAAACCTTCCGTATACACTCATTTTTGCCACTAAGCTTATCATTATCGGAAATATTTGAGCTTTCTTGATGAACATTATATCTGCCTGAATTAATAACAAACTGAGCGTAGTACTATAATGTGCACATGATTATCAAATCTCTGAAACAGCTTGTTGTTACAATTTATATTTTGTAGTATTTTGATAGGTTTTCAAACGGTAAGTGAGACTACTGACTTAAATTGATTAACTATTAATAGAAATAATCAGTTGTTATGTTGGATCAAGAGAACATTTACTCTTTTTCATGTTTTGGTATCATTCTTACCGTAAAACGAATATAGGCAATTATAGCTGAATGCCGGTGAGTGAGCGGGGCTTGTAAGATGTTTGGTCAGTGAATATTTACTTGAACTTTTGTCGTAAGTTGATGTAATTTCGATCGTTCTTCGATTCGACATTCTACTATTTTCAGCGTAATATTTTCAGGTGTTTCAACGACGTTGAATGCAGAGTGATTCTTTGTTAATGCGTCATACTCTAACTAGATATTCTGTGTCAAAGTCATGAAATTTAATTTAGTCCACCAGGCCCTTGTAAAATATTGCATACGAGTTCCTATTTCAGATTCATTTTTTTTATTTCAACAATTATTAGATAGTGCTACGCACGGTTTGCTGTATGGTTATTTACTATCAACATTTTGTAATTTGTAATGAAGAGGTCTGACGGAATTTTGAATAACAGAATTGTTAGACTAATTTAAAGGTAAAAATGTTTACATACAGGGTGATGTGAAAATGGCGTCATTCATCTGGTAGTCTTATCTTGCTGTCTAGGGAGTACACGAAAAGTAATAAAAAAAAAATTCTTAACCCTCCAGCGGGCGCGCCCGCGGCATAATGCCGCATTTTTCAGATTTTTTGTTATAAATACTATGCATTAAAACTGACGCCGTCGTTCTTCCAGGTATTCGTTCCCAATACATTTGTCCCTTCATTCCTATATCGAACAGACCCTATTTCGGTCAGCATTAGTTGCAGAGTGGCATTTAGTAAGAGTGTGCAATTTTTGCCACTAATTTGCCGCGGTGCGCCTGGTCATGTAAGTATAATAGTAATATAATTATGGAGTTTTTTGTTACGAATTGAGCATATTTTGATACACATTTATTGTGTTTGGTTCTTTATGGTGACGTATTGTAGATGTATGTCGTTTAAGCTAAAAAAATGTATATAAATTTTAAATTTTTGTTCGAGGTCGAAAAAAATTGAGTCCGGACGAATTAAAAAAACCGTTGCCATAGGTGGTGAGATAATTAGCAGATAAGCAGAATAAGATGAATACAATAGAACATTAACGTGAACAGAAGTCACGTAATAGATGACGATTTTGACAGCGATTCAGACTAGGAGCCAGAAGTTACTGAAAGTAACGTTTATAGTAGTGATTCCAAACAAGAAGCAGATAAAGGAAAAGCAGAATCTGAACCAAGGGACCAGACAAAGATTATCAATTTTTTATTGAAAAAAACAATTATATGTACTTCAGATTTTTATTTTTAGACTTTTTACATATATATTTAATTTTGTTGGCATTTTTTCAAGTATTATATGTAGAATTGCATCTATTGTTGGTTCCTTGTTTTAATTTCACTTATTAAATACATCTTAAAGTAGTAAATGACGTTTTATTTTTAAGAAAAGCATTTGCGGTGCAGTAGCCGCGGCGCGCCCGCTCGTGAGATTTTTAAACCGCTGGAGGGTTATTAAAAACTGAGCAGATATTTGCAGAAATCTAGATCACAAGAGCGGTAATTACGTCTTTTAATGTAATCAGTCTCTGGAGTATACCTGTTACTTTTTAGTTGTCAAAAACTCCCGTAACCATGGGAGAACACAAGACGTGATAACACGGTGGGTTGGACTGTAAACGGTAAATTCAACAGCATTTGTTAAATTTAGGAATCTGCTTTTTGGAAATGTTAGTATTGTCAAAAAGAAATTGTTCTTTTATTGGCATCATAAGTTCAAATTGATGTGTTTCCGAAAATACATACATATAGACCTTTCTTTGTTTAACTTCAAAAAACTTTGTGCCCGTGTATGCACGAGGAGATGATCGAGAAAAGTGCACTTTATTGTACTTTCGGTTAATTAGGTGGTACTGAATTTGTACGGGTCTTCGGTAAACCAGATATTTTGTGTCTCCTGTGTAGGTATATTGCATACATGGCAGGATTGCAGCCCTTTCTCGGTCATTACCCTGTGCCCAGTTGCCTGGGAAAGTTTCAGTCGTTGTGCAATGCCCCAAGTACTCCTGGTGTTGTTATCTCCAATCATGTTCTACTATCTCTGAAACCCGAGCATACCTTGGTCGTCCACTGTCTGTCTCACTGCCTGGATCCAATGATCCAATGTAATGATTCTTATGTCAATGACAAATTCTCATTACCTGTACTCTGTATTCAATTTTATTATTAATTATTTTTGCTCAAATAATCATTAAAATAATAATCGTTATTGTTGTTACGTCTTCACATGCATGCGTTAATAATATTCATATCCTACTGTTTACGCAAATAACTATTACCTGAGACCACTACTGAAAGTAGTGTATAACACACTACCTATCATCTAAGTAAGTTCCATTATATGCATTGTAAACCGAACGCAGGGTAAACCAAACGTACATTTCTGTCATCATTCATCACAATATAAACATTATGACTTGTATTAAAAATTCTTACCCTACTGAAAAGTGAGTCTGATGGTTTTAGAAGCAAGAAGTCCAAGATTTCGTCCACAAACAACATTAAAACTTTTCGGGAAAATGTACCCCTTATTGAATATTTGTTTATGAACGTATGATGTTTTAATTTGTAATTCTTTACTGCTGTCAACTTTTTGAGCGTTGTCAAAACTGACCTATTTGAAGACATACAAATTTGTCTTTCAGTTTAATTTATTACGGTCTTAGGTAAACTATGGTACATAATTCGAGTCGTAACGCAATTACGTACTCATAACGTACGTTACAACTCGAATTATGTACAGTACTTTCCCTACGACCGTAATAACTTACTAACTCTAAGAGACATTTGTATATTTTTAAATATGTCAGTTTTGACAACGATTAAAAAGTTGACCGCAGCCCAGAATTACAAATTAAAACGTCATACGTTCATGAACTATCGTCAAAATTCAAGAAAGTACATCTTCCCGAGAAGTTTTAATGTTGTTTGCGGACAACATGTCGGACTTCTTGCTTTTGAAACCATCAGACTCACTTTTCAGGAGGGTAAGTATTTTTTAATACAAGTTACAACTTTTATATTGTGATGAATTATGACATAACTGTGCGTTTGGTTTACAATGACTAAAATGGAACTTACTTTGATGGTAGGTTGTGCGTTCTGTACTCCTTTCAGTAGTGGTCGTAGGTAAATACAAAAGATATTAATAAATAGACCATGCTAGTCATTCATAAATCCCGATTTGTTTGTGACCAACATTGACTTCTATCGATCCGCGATTCCTCAATGAAAAATAGGTAGTAGGCATAAAAGTAGGTACTAGTCCGTATTCCCCTCATTAACGGTGTTGTCATGATGAATGTTTCATTATGTTTCCTTATTACCATCTTAAATTCTTATGAATTTTTTATTTAAAATTTCAACGCTGTTTTTGAATCTAGTGTCACTAAAATACACTTGCTTGTCGCTTATGACAAACTAAACAAGTATAACACTAAATACCCTGATGGCTACCCTTTTCTTGATATTTTCTTGTTGATGCCAATCACATTTATCAAATTGAATACCGAGCCGGCCAAGCAGCTCTCGTAAGTACCTACTTTCATATAGACTGAACCATTGTTGCTCCCATCGAAAAACGTAATCAAATCAAATGCATCTGTCCAATCTGAAGTAAATACGTTTTTAGCTCACGAGTGCACCAACATATGTCAATTTATATGTCATTACAATTCATTATTTCATTTATATAAAAATCAAGGTGTATGTTTTAAACAAAACATGCATTTTCAGCAATTTTCTTGCACAGAAGCTTAACAAATTGAATTAATTGAACACTCTAAAATGTATTTACAGATTTATTTTTTTTTAAATGTCAATTAATTTAGGGTCATGGTCAAATCGTTATTTTCGGATCCAGTTTTGATGGTAAGTTCTTCAGGGCATTCGACTTGTTCGAAATTGACTTGTGGGTTGTCGGCATTTTCATACCAGCCGAATCTGAAGTGGCAACCAGGTTGAAGAACTTCAGGAAGTTCGCTGCATTCTGCATCGGAAGATACTCCACCATATTGCTGACCCCAACCGGATTCGGCGGCACCCCACTGAGTTGAACAACCTCTGGTGAAAATACCGACACCACCTAGAAGTAAAATCGATTAGAGCTAACGATCAGCAAACTATAAGCTATCTATAAGCTTGGTTCCTCAAATAGATGGTTACTAGGGGCCTCAATGGTTACTAGGGGCCAAACTTTACCTCCGGGGATTTGAATGTCAAATTGGTTAGCTCCCAAGTCACCACCAGTGTTAACGTTTTGAACTACAAAAGTTTTGCCCGATAGAGCGTTGGTGAAGGTAAGCTTAAGACAAACGCTGCAGTATTGAACGTCAACACCACCAGCGAATGAAGCAGCTACGAAACCATAAGCAAAACTGTCATTGACGGCCCAGGGTTGTAGGTCGTTACACATGTAAGAAGTACCATCTGAAAGGTTAAACACAGTTAGTATTTTTTCAAAAAGTATGAGAAACAACAATCGTAGCCTGGAGAAGCTTATTTTGTTCCGGATCCTATTAAAAAACGTACCGGAGTCACATCCAGAATGCACGGAAGCATTCAGTTTAGTTTCACCATCAACTGCACAAGAGTAAACAGCATCATGAGTTCCACTGTTCTCTTTCCATGAGCAGGATGGTTTGCAGCAGTCCCAGTAACGGGTGGTTGTACCAGATCCACTAAGTTTAGCGGATGCAAAGCCTACAGCTAAAACAGATCTTTATTAATTATATACTTAAGCTGATAATTTTTTTAAGATTATAAAACTCTGAATCAATTTTCTCAAATTTATTATTTTTTTCAATATGTACATTAACACACATTAATTAATTTGACAAGTAAATAAGTTCACTTGATAAAAACAGCAACATTTTTACTTTGGAAATTTGATGCAACATATAGTGTAATTTTGCTCATTAAACACAATTAACTCCTTTGCAATAAGCGAAAATGTTGGTAAAATGTTCTATGAGAGTTGAAGAGTAGCAGCCAATTATGTTTGCTTTATTGTGCGTTTCTGGATGGCAGTTAATGTAGGGAGAAAATCAACCCACGAAGTAAAACTTTGTTAGAAAATGTAGTGATGTGACTCATTACTTAGTGATAGTCATCTATTAAAGTCGGTCAAAATAAAGGAGAAAAAATCAGTTTTAAAGCGACAGCATATCATAAATTATATTTATTTTAGCTTAACCACTGGTATAGTTAAATATGAATACATTGCTTTTTCTTCACATTGCTTGAATTTATTCAAATATTATTTGGAAGATTCAACTATCGCATTACCGTTCCCGTTAGTAATGTTGGTAGTGTATACGCTTCATAATGGTGGGTTAATCCGTGCAGTGCGCTTCTGGCATTACTAACATGGTCAGCTAGCGACATTTATAATTTGGAAATTTTAATTCTAATTGAAAGAACACTTTACTTGTCTATGGCCTTACTTATCACGTGGATATTACATATCACAGATGTTTGAAGAAATTGAATACTTTTAGTAACATGTAGTAACTACAAAATACTCACCCAAAGCGCATATAACTGCAACAGCGACACTCTTCATGTTTTTGGATACCTCAGTATGCAACACAAAATGACAATGAAACCCAACGTCGGCAATTGATTTATATAGGGAAGTTGTTCCATATCACTTCGACTTACGTATTTGCTACGTCACAGTACTCAAGAAGTTATATCTGCCGATAAATATTGCCAAGATGAGTGTTTTGATCACATTTCTTACACAAATAAGCCGTCCGTAAGTCCGCCTTTTCACGCGGACCAGTCTGCAGCGCTTCTTAGTGGCGCTACTGATCAGCGCACGTAAACATTGTACCAGCCATTCGGCAGCGCCACGACCAGGACCAAGCTTAACGATTATTTCTGCGTAGATTTTTAAGTTTTGTTTTAATGATACAAACTTTATTAATACGTGCTTATTTATCAAATATATTTTTTAAACATATGTGTTTTATGTTATAACTGAAAATGTGTTACTTATAATAAAATTAATTAAACATAAATTATGTGAATACCTTAGCTCAATGTTATTCCCAGCTTTTCTTCAACTGAAATGCAATTTCGCATTCAGAAGCGGATCCAGCTTTCGAGTCAGGGGGGGTCAAGTAGTAGAAATTTAGTCTTTTGTTGTCCATGAAATTAGAAAAATTCTCGTTAGTTGTTAAAAACCCAGCACAAGGGGGGGGCGCCATGACCCCCATGACCCCCCCCCCTTCTGGATCCGCCCTTGTTCGCATTGTTGTACTTATTCAGGAAATTTAATTGTTCAATATACAGGGTGGTTTTTTAGTGCGATAGAGTCCATTATTTCCGATGGTGTTGAACTTTCGAAAAATAGTTTTATACAAAAGTTGTTGACGCATAAAGTGCGCATATTTTTAAAATTCCTTATATGATACAGAGTGTCTCAGAAAAGCGAGGCAAGATCTAAGTTTATTTTTTTAAGTAAAACCACCCATTTTTCATTACCTCACGGAACGCAGCTTGAAACGCTGCATATGCACCGTAAATGGTTTTTTCTTACTTCCGACGTTGGCAGATTATCGCCATTTTAGTAAAATTTTGCTTAAAAACATGGTATCTAAAAATTCATTGTAAAAGCAAAAAAAGCAGTTAAAGATACCAAAAAATACGTCGTTACAATCACCACAGATCCGTTAAGAATTCTATTGAACCAAAATATCAATACCTTGTACAGGGTGTTAACAATGTGACTTCAATCTAAAAGTTTTTAACGCAATATAACTTCTGTTTTTCAAATGGAAGTACCTGTATATTAATACGTCATTAGATATTCAATTTACAAAGTTACAAATTTGCATTTACACTTTAAGCTGTTAAATCAACCGTTTTCAAAATATAATTTATTTTATTTAAAAATTTCAAAAAGTTGCTTCATTTCGTAAGGTGGCTATGGAAGTCAATAAATAAGTGTTATCTTCTTTTTTTGTTCTGTAGAAGAAAGTATTTTTTCTGGGTCATTATTAAAAGAAGCAAATCTTGTTGACTATTCAAGCTCATTTTAAAACTGACAATATGATGAAAGCATACACTAGCATGCATTTAGGTTGTAGAGACACTGAAGTAGCTCGTGTGAGCACCAGAATTTGAACCTTGACCTTTTCTAATGACTAGGAATGACCTTTGCGAATGAAGAAGTGACCTACATGGTCAAAGTATTAGGGTTTTGCGAAGACAATTTGCGTGAAAGCGTACGCGTTTATGCGGCGCATATTTGCAGTGAATTTCTAGCATTGCTATGACTAGAGAACAGACATATTTTTTGTACGCAAAAACTATGAATACTACAAGATTTTACAAAGGGCACAAAATTGTGAACAAATGATTAGTGCATCAACCTATAAAAGATGAGTTGATTTCATGCTCCAACTAAAAAGTTCTGGTAGTTTTTGTACCACGACACTCAAGAATTCACCACTTGTTGAAAACGGCTGAATTCGAGTGTTGCATCAAAATATGAGTCTTACATAAGAACAAATTCACAGCGAGTTTCACTAAAATAGATCGGACCATTCTCCCGATATTTCGAAAAAGATAAGTTTTTGAAGAACTTTTACATTTTTTGTTAATAAAATTTAGGTCATATCGTCTTCTTTTTGTCCAAAGAATATCGCAGTACCCTTTTGATCATGAGCTTACGGGACACCCTGTATTTGTACTCCCAGTAATTATTCCACGATCGTGTTAAAATCCATAAAAACCCTTAAGTACTTTTCAGTTTAAACAAAATATATATTGAGTATATTTTTATTTCCAGTAATTATCCCACGATTCTGTTAATATCCGTAAACCCTCCTAAGTACTTTGTAAAAAAATTGTGAACCCCAGATTCATTTCACATTCGTCGATTGGAAGTTAAGATCGTACAGCAGAATCGTACGTGTGTTCAATCATCCGATTTACAACAAAATCGTACTGCAAGAGCGTCCAACAAAATCGGTCCGACGGCGTTGTACGTGAGTGCCGGGACTGACGTGTCCAATAGGTAGGCCCGGGACGAACGCATGGTGCTTCTCAGCGCGCCATAGACACACACTTCAGAGTGGCCCGTGTGAAAAGGCGCTTAAAGAAAATGGCTTATACTTAAATCTCACTAGACATTTCCGTGTTTTTTATAACATATTTTTGCTTTTTCAAAAAGCCCCTGGCCAACCGTAACAGTACTAGATATATATAGATATATACTGTGCATCAGTTTACCTACCAAGCACGACAGAATGGCATATCTTCCATTTTTAGAAAAGGTCACTAAAATTTGCAGGGTATCATCCTTTCCTTAAATAGAATGCAAATTCAGATGCAAATTCTGGGCTCATGAATTTTGCACAGATATGAACCCATTTTACGTATATCGAAACTGTGATTCATATGACGATTTCTGTTTAATAATTCAAAAAATTATAAATAAATAAGCCACTGTTGATAAAACGACATTGATAAAATAATTGCTTGCAGTTTACTCGCGACAAATTACCCTCGGTGTTACGACAATATGGGCCGCAGTGGGAAAACTTGCCTCATTGTTTCGAGCAGAACAAATTCACAAAAATTCCAGATGACGTACTTTGGTTTAGAAATGCGTTGCTAATAGTGTCAGTAATATATTAATTTACTGATGTTCATCTAAAACTTAATATACCCCTTGACAAAAAATGTAAGTAAGTTTTGCGGCATCAGCCCCGGGCATAAATATAAAGTACCTATGACCACTATATTACGATTGTTTTGCAATGCGGTTTTTCGTGGATTTACTCGCTTTCTTAAAGGCTGGTGATCTTGAATTACGAACAAATCAGTGAACCTGACAGAGCAAATTTCAGGATCTTATAACAATTCATTTTGCAAATTTGACGATTTCCACAAAGCAGCATTTTTTACCTACTTTGAGAACGATTTTGACGATGGTCGTAGATGAAATGTTGAACTATATGGCCATTTATGTCGACTATTTTTATAAAATAAGAGGTAGTATCTCGTCTTTGTGGACTGGGAGAGAGACATGAGCGCGGTGAACATTACAAATAACATTACTCGTGTTGCGGGATACCCAGGAGGAGACATTGAGTCAGATTATGACATATAGTCAGACATATAGTCAGATATTGTAAGTTAATAAAAAGGAGACCCAGTCCGCGCMAACCCAACATCGAAAGTTTGAAATAACCTCACATTCAGGAATCCTTTCAAAACGAACTGCAAATGCTATATGAAAAAAAAACCCACCCTKAACAGGAGACCAGGTCTCCCGATGACATCTGGCACAAACTAGAGTCAAATATACAAGTGAAGGTCGTCCTGGATGAGGATAGGCTGCGGGAGATTTGGACAAGCTATGGCGAGAGCTTTTTAACGATGCCCGAGCAGAAGAAGCTCATAACCAACAACAACAGCTAAGCGTGCAGCTAACTCATCAAGGCAATGCACTCCATAAAAAACGGGAAAAGTCCTGGACCCGACAACGTAAATGCCGAAGTCCTAAATTGCGTCAATATGAAACATCTAACATGTATTTTTAATCAACTATATTACACCGGGCAAATACCGAAGACTAAAAACTGGTTCAAATCCACATTTGTGACAATACCTAAAAAAACCAAACCCGAAACGCTGCAAAGACTATAAACTCATAAGCTTAATGAGCCAATGCACTTAAGACATTTATGTACATAATTCATTCTGGAATATACAAGTTTGAAGGGATGAGCGGAGAAAAGCAGTTTGGCTTTATAAAAGGCCTCGGTACTAGAGAGGCTTTATTCTCGATCAAGCTTCTAGTACAAAAGTGTTATGATCAACGACAGAGTGTGTTAATATGTTTCATTGACTATCAAAAAGCTTTTGACAATGTGAAACATGATTTGTTGATCAGTAGGCTGCGAGAAATAGGCCGCGATGACAAAGATGATAGAATTATAAAACAGCTCTATCGGGGGCAGTCTAATGAAATCCGAATTAGAAAAGATCTCTTGACGTAGGAATTTAACATCGCAAAGGGGGTCCGGTAGGGATGGATTTTGTCTCCCATGCTTTTTAACACCTACGTGTAGAGCATTTTTCAAATGGCTTTGGAGGGCGTGGTTACTGGAATAAAAGTAAACGGCAAACCCATCAACAACATTCGATATGCGGATGACACTGAAATACTGACTAGTAATCCGGGGGATCTACAGGACATACTAGATAGAGTTACCGAGGTGGGCGAGCAATTTAGTCTGAGCCTTAACATCACAACAACTAAATTGGTTATTGGTAGACAGGAATTAAATAACATCAACCATACAATCAATGGTGACGCAGTTGAAAGGGTGTCCACATTTAATTACCTGGGAGCCACCTTCAATGAGAAGTGCGATTGTGATGAGGAGGTAAAAATTCGACTCGGAACTGCAACAACTACGTACCTACTTGAAAATGAAAAATATACTTTTCCAGAGAACGCTACTGTTCCGCCTTCGATTGCGGATAATCAAGTGCTATATATGGCCTATCTTGTTATATGGAGTGGAGACATGGTCACTCAAGGTCAGATCACTGAAACTAATAGAAGCATTCGGAATGTGGACACTACAAAGAATGCTTCGGATCTCCTGGACAGAGCACGTGTTAATCGACAATGTCTTGCTAAGAGCTGGGGTAGAGAGAAAACTTCTAAATATCGTAAAACAACGAAACACGTCTTATCTTTACAGATAGGCAGCCGAAACTTTATACCTAAGCTCACTGTCCAGAACAAAATTGAGGGTAGACGTGGGCCCGTACGTAAACAACATGTCTGGCTCCGCAATATCAGAGAATGGTGTGGCATATCGGATGCTGGATCAATTTTTCAATCGATCAATATTATTCAAATCATATTGACGATAATAACTCACTCGGGTGCATTCTAGTACTTTAATGTAGCTCATGCTGCAAATTTAATCATTACCGCCATTTGAATAATATTCTGTTATTTAGTTAATATGTGTGAGATAAAAGCACTGAACAATAGATCCATTATAATTTTCAACAAATCAACACAAATAGGTATGAGTAATATTTATAAGAAGTAAATGTATTTATCATTAATTATAACTGTTTTGAGTTTCCCTCGTACATCTACTTCTGATAATAATCGCCAAGTACTACTAATGTCATAACAATGCTAAAAAGAATACACAAAAACACTTATTCGAATGCCATAACGTAATGCAGGCAACTGTGTTATCAGATTATTTGATGTTTTTATTCTTAATTAGAACGCGTCCCATATTTGTTCCATCTTTCATTTGATTTAATAAACTTAACTTTGCCAAATACGTGTGTACAGGGTGATTCCGAATTGGAGTAATTCTTTGTAAGGGGTAATAGGGGCTCACTTCGACAGTACGAGAAAAATATTGACAGTTTTTTCGATATTAACAGTTGAAAATCGAATTTCCACTTTGTGATTAAGCATTATTTTGACATTGACATTTTTGGAACATTAACTCCAGAAAGATTTTGGACGGCAATAGATGTTCAGGTTCCAGACACAGAGAAACACCTATTGGAGAGCAGATCCTTCCAGGGGTACTCAGAGCATTGCAAAACCCCTGACATTTTCCTAGGCACCAAATAAATACCTAAGAAGAGCTATATTCCTACCACGTATGTAAGATACGCACGGCATAAGGACATATTAAGCCAATGGCTTACTGAACACCGTTACAAATTGAGCAGGAATTAATTAACCCAAAACGAGAAGCTTCTCGTGAAGAGTCTATAATTACATGTTTATATAGGCACTAACTTGTTTGGAGTTAAAGATTGAAATGTAGGTTTATTTGTATACACATGAATTCGAGGTTATGATAACAATAGTGACATTTCAAAAAAGTGAGTTCTACATTTAACGAATCCTGTTGATTTGACTGTTTACCCTTGTCTATTTCGTTCTCACTCTATATATTTTTCCCTGATTACCGAAGTTTTTATGAATTATGAAGCAACAGCAACAATGTTATTCAGACACATTACCTGGAGAAACATCGTTGCCGTCTTACTGATATAGTTTGTTTTACATTTCTCAGTTTTCAGTACCAATTAATTTTTTTATCATTTTTTCTGTACTTCTAAAACGCCCTGTATAGTAATTTATCAGAACAAGGTATATATTTGGTAGTACACCCATGTCCATGTTCTCTTTACCGAGAAAACAATTCAAGTGAATTTGAAAAATTTACTGAGCGATCCTGTGGCACTTTACTTTACACTTTACTTACTTTACAGCATCAATTCCATTGTGGAAACGAGCAACTCAATCAGTTTTATATATCAAGTAATGGGTACAGAAGTAATTCTATTTTCACAGGAAAGAAGTGTGTTTATTGTTTAGCACTTCATCAGCTTATCGTGATATATCCTGAGTACCGTTAAACTTCGAAGCCCCTTATTCAATCATATTTGATCTATTTTAAATTATGACAAAATACAATTTATTATCCGTAAGGAATGGTACTCGAAATTGAACGAGTTATTAACTTGTTTTATATTGGTATAAATTTAGAACTGATTCAGCGCCCTCACATGCACAACGTTCATTCGAGGATACTTCTATTAATTGAGATGTTAGAACTGTGCTAAACACTATTAGGCATTAAGCATTAAGCAGGCATTTAGACATACTCGCATCTTGAAACATTGTGATATATTTTTTCTTCATTCTTGTTTCTTCATAGTAAATTAAAATATCGGAGATTAACTTTTTTGCAAAATTTAAATGTAGGGTTTTTTTTCGGTTACATTTTTTCTACTCAAGTGGGTCCGTATACCACGTTTTTAAGAGTTTTCAGATTTAATTTCATCTAAAAGTTTGATAACTATAAACCCGTCCCAATTACAGAGCCGATCTAGTCTTGTTATTGCATTCCCAAAAATTAAACAGAAAGCCAGCAAAATATACCTAATATCTCAAATCAGTTGTATCTGATGAAGGAACTAATTCGAACATTCTCAACCGCCTAACAATTCTTTGAATCCTTAACTGATAAATATTGTGAATTAACAGATTATTCTATTGTGGGAGGAATGAAAACACCAGAAGATATTAAAATATTTGCCTGTTGCAAGTGAAATAAACCTGACCTGCGTGTCTAGAAAATAAAGTAAAAGCATTTTACCGTTTTGTCATTGTATTCAACTATTTGCTTATTGAAGCCTATTTGTGTGGTTTTTTTTAGACAGGTTATATAAGCGGAGAAGGTATATATTTATTGAAAAAATTTATATCACAAAGATACAACAAAAATTTCAAGGCTTTCACCGATTTTTTAGCCCATGTTTTTAAAGCGTCGATTGAATAATTGCACAAGTTTAATATTTTTTATGCGTACTAAAATGTTAAGTTGTTTTAACAATTTTATCACACACGTGCAGATTTCAGACACAAACTGATGAGCTTATTAATTTTGAATAAATCACATATCAAAATGACTCATGGCTCGAATTTTTCAAGATTCGAAAATATTTTTGGCTGAAGTGAGTTTCTGCATAGTAATACCCGAATTTTGTCTTGATTTAACAATCTGTACATAAATATTTCTACTTTAAAATTCTAAAATATTTGTTCTTACCAAGGTATGGGTGGAAGTTACAACTTGTATGCGTATAGTGTGTAGTGCATACAAAATCTCCTCATAAAATTTTAATTATATCTTTTCTTATCAAAGTATAGTATTTTGGCTCTTTTTCAAGTCACTTTTTGGAGTTCCAGAGAACTGGTTTCAAACCTAGTAGTTCTTGTCAGCAGGCCTAAGTTTGCAAATGCCGCATGAAAACGTTTGTATAGGATTGATTGACTAACCTTGGGGCTTTGCGGCCTCTGCTATTATTAATAAATTATATAATCAATTGTCACACATGTAGAATTATTCTAATTGTCTAGAGTTGATGAATACATGCTTGACAGAATATGACAGAAAGTGATTACATTCTAAATTGTGGATACATATTCAATTCCTACATACATATTCCTTTTCGGATTATTCGATTAATTTTGCTCTTTAAACGCGGACAGTTAAAGGTATCAATTGCAAGTTTGTTTAAACCCAGCTGCTGAGAACTATGAGACTCGAAACCGTTTCGTGGGTTGCTTGCTCAAAATCTATTCTTTAACGACGCCTTATTAAAGGCTTGTGAGAATATACAGGTTGATTCAAAATTGGCGTCATTCCTCTGGAGATGTTGTCCGGCGCTGTTATAGGAGTACAGAAAAAATTGTAAAATAAATAAATTGTTATTAAAAACTGAAAAATTTCCAAAAAACTATATCAGAAATACGGCAGCTATGTTTTTCAAGGTAATCCGCCTAATTAACATTTCGCAAATACCTGTAAAAACTCCGGTAACCATGGAATTATACAGACTGACAATAACGAAATGTTGACGAAATGTCAACTTGCTCTCATAACCTCGAATATGGGTGTTTATAAATAAACCTTACAACATCTTTAGGGTTTTTGACCATTGAATGGTTAACTCCAAACAAACTAGTGCCTGTGTAATCTCCTTATTATCCACTCTTAATCAAGCAGCTTCTCGTATTCAGTTCATTAACTCCCGCTCCATTGGTATCTCCTTGTGCTGTGTGTATCGTACAAACGTGGTAGGAATGTAGCCGGTATTTGTTTGGTGCCTGGGAAAGTGTCAGTTATTGTGCTCTGAGTGCCTCTGATCCGGTTATGTCCAATACTTGTCCAGTAAAAT